GTTGTTAGCGTGGGAACGCCGTCAAGCACAACCTTGGTTGACACACACACCTCTGTGGATCCCCAAATAGCCGTTAGTAGCCCGACAAGCACAACGACGTCGGCATCTCAACAAGATGCTCCAAGTCTGCCTTATTCCACGTCAACCGCCATATCTACTTCGATCGATCCAGTTTCTCAGAGCTCCTCTAAGCCTCCTCCTTCCGGAAGTACAACTTCCGTGGCCGTCAATCCAGGTTTCCTCTCCCCAGGAACTGTCTTTACTTCGAGTTCAACTTCGACGTCCCCAGCCTTGGAAGCGACTTCGTCTGTGAGTCAGACTTCTGCAGAACTTACAACAGACTCGTCTAATCGGATTCCAACAACTTCTTCATCCCTGTCTTCTGGCCCCGATAATATTTCCTCGTCCGTTAATCCTAGCATAGATACTCTCGCACTGTCTGCAATCATTTCTCAAGTATCCGGAACTTCGTCGATCGTAGATTCGGCCTCGAATGTGCCCTCACCTACAGCGACTCAGTCACAGGAATCCTCGTTAACTACATCAACAACTTCGCCTTCCATTAACACGTCAACAACAAACGCGGATACCGCGCTTGCATCGGACCCCATTTCCGCTTCGAGTAGCTCATCTCCTGCTTCTGATACCGTTCTTTCAAACCCGCTTGCTTCGCCCACACCCACATCTCAAAGCACTGGAGCAGGAACCAATACCTTGAGTCCTGCTAGCTCAGATGTCTCAAGTTCGGATTCAGCCTTAGGGGTTTCTGGACTGTCCGGCATCTCAATCTCAGACACGTCCGCCCAGTCCTCATTGAGTTTGTTACTTCCGGTCACAGCTGATTTCAGTCTGGTTAGCCCAACTTCCTCGACTGAAATATCAACATCTGCTGAATCATCTCTTGGATTATCCGAGACTACTTCCTCCCAGGGGGCTTCAGTGTTATCGACACCTGTTCCTGTTCTTGGAAGCACTTTTAGCACAGAATCCCCGACAACTAGCACTCTCTCAGTAGCGCCGGCTGTACTTTCAACAGAAACTTTATCCCTCTTTGAATCTACTGCCACAACAACAAGCTCTCTTGGCTCATCAGCAAGCTTTCTTCCAAACTCCCTATCAGGCGGTGGTACGAGTAGTACCAATGTACCCACTCCAGTGACAACCCCGGGCCAGTCAAGCGTACCTCCTTTCGCATCTATATCTGACACCCTCTCTTCATCTGGAAGCACAAGCTTGTCGTTTTCAGCCACCACGGAGACACCTATTGACACGAGGATCTCTTCAGCTGCTATAGAGACCTCCTCGATTATCTTGCCCGCCGGCTCGAGTTCTTTGGCCTCCTCTGCTATAGACATTGAAAGTAACACGGCGGCTTTGTCTTCTTCTGCTTCTTCCAGCGTAGTAGAGTCACAGACCTCAACGTTGACGGAAATTACAGCCGGCTCATCGGCCAGCTCCGAGCTTTCAACTCAATCTGAGTCTTCGATCAGCTCCACCAGCACCGAACTTTCTACGCCTTCTGGCCCAACGATCTCATCCTCGGCACTTCTCAACATTCTAAGTACCCTGTCATCGAGCGCAGTATCACCTTCCACTATTGGTCCTTCATCCTCGGGCGTGTTCACCTCTGCTGAAGCAGATTCGACAACCTCAACGATTGACACCGTTTCTGCCGACTCAATATTTCAGGACACGACCTTGACCTCAACCTCTGTAATCTCACCTGGCTCTACCCTCTCCTCGTCCAATTTAAGCAGGATTTTAGACTCCAGTAGCCTTTCTGCTTCAGCCACACTATCTGAACCTAGCTTGGTGACCCCAACGGCAACCTTTGTGACATCTGTGGTTGTATTCACAGGGACTGAATCCCTTACGGGCACCGGCCTGGTCCCTCTCACCACCATTTATCCAAGCAATGGCGACGCACCGACTGTGATATTTGGTGCGGCTAGAAGACTCTTTGCTTCCGTTGCTGTGCCGTACTCTGGTACAGGGATCATTACTGGACCTCAGCAAGTGAGCATCGTGCTGCCAAGCGGTTCAGACTCACTAGTGCTGGGGACGATTGTCTACGCAACACCGGACCCTCTGGTCACGTCCGAGGTAGACTACACTGGAACAGGCACCCTCACTTCGTCTCTGCCATTGACCACTATCTACCAGTCCGGCACAGTCCCTGGAACCATCGTTTTGGCGAGGCCGGCTATCTTTGCTACATTTGGAACCAGTTCTGCTGTCGTTTCCAGTGCTTCGAGCGAGTCGTCCTCCCCTGTTGTGTTAAGCACGACATTGCAGTCTACGAGCTCGGTTGAAGGCATTTCATCACTGGAAACTAGCTCTTTTTCCACATTCATTTCTCCTCTAAGCTCTGCCTCGACTTTTGTTTCCTCTGAAAGCTTTTCGGGATCGAGTGATGATTCCAAGCCTATCGCCTCAAGCTCGCCTACTGTTCTAGCTGAATCCAGCACATTGAGCGAATCACAGCGAGGATCAAGCAGCCTCGTAGCGGTTCCCCCATCAACCTCATCTGATAGTTACAGCTCGATGTTCGGCGATCTGAGCTCTTCCACAATCATTTCGACTTTTCCGGTTGGTTCTATTTCAACCCCAGAGTTGCCAACTTTTACCGCAACATCAACGGATGACAGCCTCCCAACTAGCGTCAGCATTGTTCCGGCGTTTCTAGGCACATCTTCGAGCTTGACAGACGATCCAGTTGTCTCGACTTTCACAAACGATAGTCTTGTTTTCTCAAGCCGGACACCAACATCAACTGATTTAGGAACCACTGCAGTCCAGGCAACCATATCGCAATCATCTGTAACAAGCATTGGTGTGTCTTCTTCCAACACTGTTGAGTCGAGCGACCTGACAGCTTCGTCTCTCTTGGTAGCGTCTTCAGCTGCGTCCTCTTCTGATTTCAGTTCAGCCACTGGAACTTCTTCTGTCGATTTCACGGCTTCCATCGAGTTTCCTTCGTCTGTGAACAGCGGCTCTTCATCCGAAGGTACCATTGCAACGGTTTCCTTCATCTCCGATCAGACCTTGGTCTCTAGCTCAGCTCCACCAGCATCTGCCTTCTACGACAGCGTTCAGATACCCTTCACAGGCACTGATCAGTTGCCTACTCCGATCCCCATCAGCACAGTGCCTCCGAGCGGAAGCGTCCGCGGAACTATCGCTTACGCCGCTCAGTTCCTCACTTCAACAGTATCAGGTACTGGTCAGTCCACAGTCACCCTCTTCACAATCCAGCCTTCTGGAACACAGGCTGTTGGGTTGGTAGTCATTGCAGTTCCTACCTTGCTAGTGTCGTCGACGGCGTCTTCTGTTCCATCTGATAATGGAGGAACGTCTACCAGTGAGATCAGCTCTGATCCGTCAGCGACTTCGTCCGCAACTTCGGTAACTGCGGTATCTTCCGTAGCTGAGTCGAACTCCATCAGCTTGAGCGGAAGCACCAGCAGCACTGGAACTCTCGAACCAAGCACAATTTTTGAGTCAAGTAGCGGGGCGACGACGTCCAGCGAAGTCGAAAGCACAAGCACCCTTAATCCCGAAGCAATAAGCACAGCCTTCGCTTCTCTGCTTACCACCACCGATTCGAACTCCTTAAGTGACGTTGCTTCGACATCTGATATTGGCAATCTTCATAGCAGCAGTACCTCCCTTGAGGCCCTTAGTACCGACACAAGCGCAGTGACTTCGAGTACCATCGGGTCAGAAGCCAGCAGTTCCACTTCCATCGATGCGACCTCAACTGAAGCCAGCTTCTCGATCTCTCCCACTGTCCCGAACCTGTTTAGTGAGTCGCTCATCACGACAGAGAGAGCTGAATCCAGCAACAGCACTCCAACGACTAGCAGCACAAGCGACTTTGAGACAACTTCCACAGCGCTTGTTTCTCTGATATCTACCATCGATCTCAGCTCCACGTCTGGCTCGTCCAATACAGCAGATGTCACTACCTCAGCGTCCAGCGCCTCACTTACGGTAACCACCGGTTTGACCACAAACACTGAGATTTCTTCGGCAGCTTCTTCCAGTCTTGTTTCCGAGACAGCCAGTATTTCTCTTGGGATTACTACCTCCACTAGTGACACTCCAAATACATCAGAGAGCTCGCTAATAGATGGTTCCTCTTCTCTCCTGTCGATAGGCACTGGTACGATTGCCTCCTTTGCTTCGGATTCTACAAGCAGCGATATCACACCAGCTACTTCAATTCCTTCCGAGACTTCCCAATTCTCGACCACGTCAACATCAGCGGATGCTGCTTCTTACGTCACCTCGCAACTCATTTATACCGGCCCATCTTCACTATCTGAGCCTCTCCCATTGAGCACTATCCAGCCAACGAACGGATCTCCAGGCACCGTTATCTTGGCTATTCCAGCATCTTTCTATGTCACTTCGACTTTGATCTACACCGAAGCCGACTCCTACATCATTCCGTCTGCCATTAGTACAGTTGCGCCTTCCGGAACAGCTAAAGGCACCGTCATCTTCGCCGCTCGCTACGCAGTGGTTAGAGTTGCGTACTCGGGCACTTCAATCATCACGGAACCTATCCCCATCGCCACATACCCGGGCAGCGGAACAGTCCTTGGTACCGTTGTCTATGCTAATCCTCCATCAACCTCAGCAACATCAGAGCCATCTTCTGCTACCTCAACATCTACAGACTCCCTTGACGCGTTCGATCCTTCAGCCACCTCGACTTCGTCAACTTCTACATCGTCCAGTAGCTCACTCCTGTCTACTGTGTCTTCCTTATTGGAGGATTTTACCGGATCGTCGACTTCTTCGAGTGACACATTCACAGTAAACCCTGACACACTACTACTAAGTTCTACCCCTGTGTCGACGACAGATGAGCCAGCAATGACAAGCGGCTTATCTTCTGAGATTTCTTCATCAACATCAACATCATCATTATCATCAAGTGATTTCACAGGCCCCGTAGCTTCTTCAACTTCGTTCACAACTAGCTTAGATGGTCAAGAGACATCATCTGCCAGTGCATCATCGGGCGAAGAGTCAAGTACTTTGGTCACTGAATTCACCCCAACATCAATCCCTTCATCATCTCTGTTGTCTTCAAGCTCCTTGGAGACTATTGGTCTCGATACCTTGTCGCCTACCAGTACATCTAGCAGTACTTTACCTGGCGTGGAAAGCAGCACATCGGTCATCTCAGAAAGCGACTCTGCTCTTCTCAGTCCAACGTCCTTATTGGACTCAGAGTCTACAACGAGCAGTAATTCACAATCGCCATCGGCTACGTCTACTCCTAGCCCAGCTACCACTATCATATCGACAAGCGATTCGGCAAATGAAACCTTGACCAGCTCCTCGGCGGCAGTTTCGTCATTAATCTCAAGTACAGCAACGACGCTTGAGCCTGGCACCCTAATTTCAAGCTCAGCCAATCCTTCCTCTAGTGAAACTTTTACTTCAACGAGCATCTCAGCTTCAAGCTCGAGCCCATCATTTATATCGATTTCTTCTCAATATTTATCCTCATCCTTAAGCACTCAGAATACAGTAGAGATCAACACCTTACTGTCTACGTCTATCGTATCTGCAATTACGGCCACAGAGACAAGTTCCTCAACATTGGAATTGACCAGCTCATCAGGGGTTTCATCTGCATCAAGCTCAACTGCTACGTCTGATCCGTTATCGTCCATCACCAGCACCGCGTCCTCGTCAGCTGCGGACTCTTCAAGTACCCTGAGTAGTGAGAGCTCTGATTTAATCACTTCGAATTCAAGTGTTACCGTCAATCTTGATACGCTAGCTTCCTCAACTACCCTCCCAACAAGTGAGGATACCAGTTCCTCGACCTCCAACGGAGCAGATTCATTGACACCAACCCCAACATCGACCTTGCCGCAGTCAACTTCAATCAGTCTAACGCTGGAAATCACAGCCACTACGTCTGAGAGCTCTTTGACTGACTTTTCGTCTTCGAGTGTGACGGTTGATCCGAACAGTCTGCTGTCTACATCATCAAGCCCGTCTACAGAGCAAGGCTCGAGTTCCACGGATATACTTGAATCGTCCTCGTCAATTCCACAGTCGTCTGCGAAAGTCAATTCATCTACAGCTTTGGACGTTTTGGACACTTCTTCTGGTTCTCCCACCAGTTCCAGTACCATTACTGCGACTTCCGTCAGCTCAACATCAAATGTTGCCTCCTCCTCTTCAGATGTTTCCAGCACTATAGCCGCTTCGTCCAGCCTTACAATCAACCCGGATAGCCTACTACCAACTTCGCAGAGCACTTTGACTGAAAGTGCATCAAGCACCTCTGCGAGTGCCTTGCTGTCGTCTTCAAGTTCTACGGCTACGTCTACTATTAGCTCCACGGAATCTCCTTCTTCAGTTACAATGAGTATTTCGGTCACTGAATCAACTTCAGTGAGCTCGCAAGCAGGCTCTGAAGAAATTGCAACCACACCAACACTTTCCTCTGCTAGCATATCCACGAGTAGCTCTGAGTCTTTTTCTTTCACGGTCAATCCCGCAACTCTACTCTTAAGTTCGACAACTTCAAGCTCTTCAGAGAGTGGTTCCCTATCGCCATCGAGCTCTATCGCTAGTTCCAACGAATCTTCCGTATCCTCATCAACCAGCACTTCTACTGTCATATCAACTTCTCCAACTACCCAATCAAGCTCAGATGAAGCCGCATCCGTAACATCTATATACTCGTCCGTTACCACGTTTACGTCTCCATATTCATCTCCAACGATTGGACCCGCTAATCTTGTCTCGACGTCCACTGAATCACCGACTACTGGTTTGACGTCTTCCCTTTCCTCGTCAATTTCGGATCGAAGCTCTTCACCCGAACCCAGTTTCGAAAGCTCAGTCGAGGCCTTGTCTAGCTTATCACTTTCCTCATCATCAACCTCGACCGGGCTGTCTCTATCTTCGAGCCCCCCATCAGTTGATCCAGCGAGTTTGGTTTCAAGTTCGGAATCATCTTCCTCGACCTTATGGACATCCTCCGTCAGCTCAACCACCGGGATCACAATCACAATCTCAAGCTCCAATTTACTCCCATATTCTGCTTCTTTCACCCCTACGTCATCCAGTGCGATAACCACTGCAGAATCCCCAACTTCTCTGTCCCAGTCATCGTCAGCGAGCACTACAAGCACCTCTTCGTCAATATCTTTGTCGTCGTCGTCGACCTCTTCGACTGCGCCAGAAGTCATTCCTTCGACCTCATCTGATTTGTCAGTCAGCTCGTCTACCTCTTCAGCATCTTCAAGCCCAACGGTCGATCAAGCAACGCTACTGCCTCCTTCGGAGCCATCATCGATCAGCACGTCCATAGATCCAAACTCCCCGCCTTCGTCCTCGATCGCGCCGGATGCGACTTCTTCAAGCTCATCTGACTCAACGTCTATTCCAATTACTCCATCTACGTCTTTGAGTTCAACAGCTGGTCAAGATACGTCGCTGCCTACATCAGAGTTTTCGTCGATGAGCACTTCGACCTTCTCCTCATCCTCATTAGCTTCCTCTACGCGTTCATCCAGCTTCGCCTCTAAGCCTACTACTACTCTACCTATAACATATGTTTACACGACCATATTCCTCACAGCTTCAGATTCACCAGACTCAACTATCATTGCTTCAATCGGACCAAGCGGTACTCAAGCTGGCACTATAGTCGTCGGAAGACGAGCACAATTTGTTACTGTCACTCGCCCATACAGTGGGACCAATACTCTGAGCGGCGGTGCAACTATTGTCAGCATCGTGCAACCGCAAGATGAACAGCCAGGAACAGTCTACGTCGAGACAACTCTAAATGCGGCACCCTTGACTTCCACGTCAACATCTACTGACCTCTCGCCGGGGTTGTCGAGCTCGATATTCTCAAGCTCTTCGACCTTCGAGCCATCCCTAAGTACATCGTTCACTGGCACCAGCGCCACTTCCACAAGTACGACGGATACTGTCGAGCCGGATACCTTGCTGTCAAGCACGATTGCCGCTTCGACGAGCTCGCCTTCTAGTTTAGACTTGCCCCCGTCGTCCTCCACTTCTCAGCCATCGTCGACTTCTGCTAGCACTTCTGAGTCGACTAATAGTGTGTCTTCCATATCAGTTTCGAGCACACCTTCAAGTATCAGCTCAAGTAGCCCCTCAGGACCATCTTCCAGCATCTCCAGTATCATATCGTCAAGTACAGCCAACACAGCAGAAGATGATACCTTACTCCCGACCACGAATGTGTCCTCAACGAGGGCCTCATCTAGCTCAGAGCTCCTTTCATCAGGTTCAATGTTACTGTCCTCGTCTGAATCGACAGTAATATCTTCGTCGACCTCAAGCAGTGGCTCCAGCCAACTCTTCCAGAGCAGTTCGAGTGACCTTCCAAGTGCCTCTTCTACTGTTATTTCATCCACGTCGAGCCTGAGTGTCGATCCCGCATCTTTGTTGTCGACATCATTGACTCCATCGTCGTCATCAACAACAAGCACAACTGAATTGTCTAGTTCAAGCTCCGTCGATTCTTCCAACACTTTCGCGACCGCAAGCGTCACAAGCACATCCTCGACTTCTACGGGCAGCTCCGCGTCGTCAAGTACCACAGTCAATCAGGCCACCTTACTGTCGGCCACCACTAGTGCTTCTTCGGCATCGACTTCAGGACCAACTAACAGCTCGACCGCATTTGCTTCTTCGGATTCTTCTAGCGCGAGTCAAACTTCAAGCTCATCAACTATGACGACTGTCTCGCCGACGCCCACGTCTTCAAGCATTACGGCTAACCAGGCTAGCTTGCTACCGACTACCTCAAGTGGTTCTTCAACGTCAACTTTAAGCTCAAGTACTTTGGATATGACCTCGTCGTCGACTTCTCCCTCAAGTCTCTTCAGCACAAGTCAGGGCTTATCGGCGACCGCGAACATATCATCGACGCAGATTGCATCCAGCCTCTTGTTAAGCGAACCTTCCTCCACAACCCCGACCTCAAATGCTGTTACGTTGCTTCCGACATCAAGCAGCACCTCAGCGGGCCAGAGCTCAAGTTCCTCTAGCTCGATATTGGCTTCTTCCACATCGTCGATCAGTAGCCCTGTTTCCCAACCGACGTCGTCTTCAAGCGGCCTTTTCGGCAGCTTCTCGTCAACTGACTTATCGTCACCCATCCCATCATCTACTGGCTCTACTTCTTCCAGCGTGTCTGTCAACCCTGCCACATTGGTACCTACGGTTTCTAGCGCTTCGACGAGCAGCTCTCAAAGCACTTCGTCATCAGTAGGCATCTCTTCTAGTCCTGCTTCATCTGCATCTACGTCCAGCAGTATTTCAACGCCGCCCAGTAGCTCCTCGTCAATCACCTCAAGCACATCATCGTCAGCCAGCCAAACGACGAACGCCGCCACGCTGCTTCCCTCAAGCAGTAGTACAACAGGGCCCTCTTCGAGCAGTTACAGTAGCAGTTCTTCTCCATCTTCTAGCTCTGCAGTCAGCTCAACCTTCACTTCCAGCGGTACTGCGTCGAGTAGTAGCTCGCTCAGCAGCTTTGCATCTGATAGTCCAACCGCCAACGCCGCCACACTGCTCCCGGCGACAAGCAGCGCAGCAGGGTCACCTTCAAGCACCTCGGCTAACAGCCCGTCGTCGTCCTCGAGTTCAACGTCCAATGTGGGCTCCACTTTCAGTAGTACGGTCCCCAGTACTACTTCCTCCGTCAGCGCAACAGTCAATCCAGCTACGTTACTGTCACCGAGCACCAGTTCAACAGCGGCACCTTCGAGCAGCTCCGCAGTCAGCTCTTCACCCTCCTCCAGCTCGTCGGCAAGCTCATCTACAGTTAACCCTACTAGCAGTACTACAATTACAACTAGTAGTCTCCCTGGCACGTCTTCTTCTCCTTCTTTGTCTTCTTCATCCAGCCCAACAGTCAATGCAGCCACGCTCCTGTCAACGACCAGCAGCGCTTCTACGAGCAGTCTTTCAACAGTCTCATCTTCATCTTCCAGGGCAACAACAAGCTCCTCACCAAGTGCAACGAGTAGCTCTTCTGTAGGAACTATATTGTCCTCGTCTACTTTATCGAGTCCGACATTTAACGCGGCTACTTTGATATCCACCTCCACTATTGGGACTCTGACGAGCAGTGTTTCCGTCATCAGCTCGTCGTCAAGTGCCACAGCAAGCTTCTTAAGCTCAGCTCCTAACAGCAACATCACTTCTACGGATACGAGCAGGTTCTCGAGCAGCTTATCAACAGGCACTTCGTCTTCTTCAAGCCCGACAGTTGAAGCGGCCTCATTGGTGTCCACTACTAGCAGTGCGTCTACAAGCAGTAGCTCATCCGCCAGCTCAACATCTCCCACCTCTGCCAGCTCTTCGATCTCAGTATCCACTAGCAGTAGCACTACTACCACCCCATCGTCTAGTGGCTCTGCTCTCGGCTCATCTCCCACTTCTTCGAGTGTGACGGTCAACGCAGCCACCCTGTTATCTACAATAAGCTCCATACCGAGCACCTCGACAAGCACCTCGACGACCAGAAGCTCGATATTCAGCACGGCATCTCTGAGTAGCACTTCAAGCAGCTCTTCGAGTGGTTCTCCGAGTAGCTCTACTGCTTCACCCACGGCGAACCAAGCAAGCCTGCTTTCCACATCCAGCAGTGCCACTACTAGCAGTTCTGCCACCAGCTCTACTGCCAGTATTTTCACTACCAGCAGTATATCCCGTACCTCTGCGTATTCATCTACAAGTGTCACTATCAACCCCGCGGCTCTGGTTCCCACAACAAGTAGTACAGGCAGCAGCAGCAATAGCGTGACGAGTAGCAGTTCTTCCACGAGTAGTAGTAATACCTCGAGCAGCATCCCTTCAAGCACCTCATCCTCGAGTGTCACTGTCAACGCCGCGAGCTTGGCGTTAACTACAAGTTCATCAACATCAACCACGAGGATATCAACGTCGTCTTCACTCCCTTCGAGCTCTGGTAGTTCTTCCTCGAGCACAGCCGTAACCTCGTCATCTTCTACATCGTCTATAAGCTCTTCCTCGAGCTCCTCTTCAAGCTCCTCCGCCAGCGCTGCGCTCAACACATTGCTAAGTTCGTCGAGCGCCTCCACGTTCTCGACCTTGACAAGATCGTCGTCTTCTTCGACGACTTCACCTACGTCCAGCAGCGTCAGTGTCCAGGCAAACACGCTGGCGTCAACTAGCTCGAGCCCAAGCAGCACATCCACATCGGCAACCACGACAAGCACACTTGGCTCGACTTCATCGTCCACTGTGCTGAGCTCATCCTCCTCCTCCTCACGGACTAGTACAACGTCGACATCGTCTTCAAGCTCGACTTTGAGCTCAATTTCAAGCTCAAGCTCGACTTCATCTTCATCCCGCACAACCACTTCAGCAAGCAGCTCTTCCAGCTCGAGCAGCACTAGCACAAGCACTTCCTCGACCTCTTCCAGAGTTGTCGCCTCAGCCACACAAGGTCCCGCATTCTCATGTCCTACTACGGGCTTCCTGATTCAGTCCCTGACCCTGTTTTCACTGAACTTGGCTACTGGAGAGCGAACCCAAATCGCCGACAACATAGGTGGAGACTCAACGCGCAACATCAACGCCTTGGGCTATAATGCAAGAGAGGACTACCTCTATGGTATTTCCCAGAACGAGGCCGCCACCGACTTCAAGATCATTCGCATCCTGGCCAACGGCACGGGTACGTATGTCGCTACGGTCAGCAAGCTCACAACCGGCCTGTTCAACTCGGGCGACATCGACGAGAACGGCCAGTATTGGATCTCTACTGGTGGTGCCGACTTCTATCAGTACAACTTCGCTCCTGGCACCACAAATTACGGAGGTCTCGTCACTAGTGGCAAGCTCACCGGTACCGGTGGTTACACAATCGGTGACTGGACTGTCGTTCCTGGCGTCGGAGGCGGAGATCTATGGTCCGTCGGCGTGAGCAATCAAGTTGCTTACTTGTTGCGCTGGAGCCGGACTACCCACGCATTCACAGTGGTTCGCAACTTGGGCAACCTCACAGGAGCAACTGGGACTACGGTGCCTTTCTGGGGTGCGAGCTACGCAACCACAGATGGCTACCTTTTTGCGGTGGAAAACGGCAGTGGGCAGATTTGGCGTATTGCTGTTGATGGCTCTTCAAACCCTCTGAGGTTGAAGGATGCACCAGTCAGCAGTCGAAACGATGGTGCCAGATGTCTGGATTCCGGAGCCATTGTTGTTAGTGGCTAAGCGTGGCCTGATGTGTCCCTGGGTCGTTTATTCCTTCTTTATTTTTGCGATGCCTTCTGAAATACTTAAGCTAAAATAGTATCAGCGTTTAATTGTTTCTCCGGGGTTAGTAAAAAATGGTAATTCTTAGACGAATCAAAATACCGAGTTAATAAATAATGTTAAATCTGTTGAACGAACTGTCTCAGATCAGACTGCTCAAGACTACCAGCTCCTAAGAGTCGATTTGTGCTGTCTTGAAGGCTCCATTGCCGCAGCGCATCCAATGGTATAAATGAGACCTTGTTGCCGGCAGAAAAAGCTGAAGCAACCAAGCCACCTGTAGTCACACAACGTGCCGAATTGAGCTAGCTGGCTCCCAGAAGCCAAAATGGCATCGACGTTTCCCAGCCGTGGCGAAGACTAAGCTGTTTCACTTAGAGGCCCTAGGCCGGTGCTAGCAGGAGGCAAATAGGGATCATTCACTGCCAGGCGTCATCTCCTTGCACATATACTTATTTGTATACGCAGGAAAGAGTATCTCAGGACGGACGGTTCCTGTGATGAAGTTAAATGACTATATGTAATGTGAGGGTCCAAATTGGTGTGGCTAGCCGCAACCCCGGCATATACTTTTTGACTCAAGATACTAGTTGTTCAGAGTAACGAGTCGACGAGTTAGCCCTTTAACATGGGCTCTCAAAAATGGACGTCCAAGAGAGGGCTTTCATAAAGAAGGTCTGGCTCCAAGGTTTACGGCTGTAGGATGGGCAAGCAACCTGCATTGTCGCGAGCCACAGTGATCAGTGCAAAGGGCTGCGTACAAGCTGCAAGTAATTAATCCCCAGATTCGCCATCCCGCATGGCTGATATAGACTTAGGGTCATATCACAGACCAACGTCAGTTATTAAGCTTCAACTTGGTTGCGGTGGCCTTGAAGTTTCCCAAAGTTCCACCGAGTCAAGACCCATGCTAATTTTGGCACCGATTTGGCACTAGATAATCGTATTCTATCAGTAGTTACTCATCACAGGGATCGCAAGGGATCCCAGCCCGCCTTAAATTGCTTAAAATGCATCCCAAGCCAACTAAAACCTGTGAAAAATGACGCTTTACGCTGTAAATCAGGCTTGGCTAAACATCCACGGTCGCTACGAACTCTGACGTCGCTGGTTCCGCACAACAACTTGATTTTTTCTCTGCCCTCCCCCATCCTCAGTATTCTGGCCCATTGGGTAAGAGTCAGTCATACCAACAAAAAATTATATCACACCGGGGTCACCGGATGTCACGCCATATATAGCATTGTTTGCCTACGCCCTCTCCACTGCGAAAATCGCCAAGATGCCAAAAGAGGAGGAAAAAAGGGGGTTCGCCGTTCAAATTGGGTAGGACCCGGAGGAGACTTACATGGGGTCTCCACCGCGGATTGACCGTTACACTGCCGCAAGCCGAGGCTCGGGACGAGAGAATGAAGAACTACATAGTCGGCGGGGGCTCCTCGCTGGTTTTTTTGGTTTCCATTTCGTCTCTTCAGTGCCATCGCTGAGCGCATTCACATTCGTTTTCAACATTCGTTCTTTTTGCTGATTCTGGAGTCAAGATGAGCGCTGTCACCAAGTTTGGGTTCGAGTTCCAGACTGCCACTATCAATGGCGTCGAGTACAACTACATCCACGCCGAGCCTGCGGGCAAGGTGGTAGGGACAATCTTCCTCATCCACGGGTGGCCCGATATGTCCCTGGGATGGCGCAACCAGATTCCTTACCTCCTGTCCAAGGGCCTCCGGGTCATTGCTCCTGACATGATGGGTTACGGAGGCACTGATGCTCCCGCCGACGTCAACTACTAGTAAGTCTCTTACACCCAGTACCTCACCTCAACGAAGAAAGCTTGGCGAAGACTGACCGACCCAACCAGCACATTCAAGCGCGCCTCAGATGACATTGCTGCTCTCGCCAGCCACCTCGGCCTCTCGCGCATCATCCTGGGCGGCCACGACTGGGGCGGAGCGGTCGTCTACCGCGCAGCCCTCTGGCACCCGGAGCTGATCTCGGCCTTCTTCGTCATCAGCACCCCCTTTGCACCGCCCCGTCTCGCCTACGTCGACCAGGCCACCGCACTACCCACGCTGCACTACCAGCTGCAGTTCCGCACCGACGCCGTCCAGGACTACATTGGCCTCGGCGACGTCCAAAACGCCACCCGCGTCCGCCAGATCCTCAACACAATCTACGGCGTCAAGCTGCCCAGCGGTGCATCAGCCTTCAACTCCAGCGGCGCCGGGTTCGACTTTGACCTTCTCGACGGCGTAACGACGGACACGCCGCTGTTGAGCGAGGAGGAGCTCGACTACTACGTGGAGAACTACGCCGGTAGTGATCCCTTTAACAGGACGCTCAACTGGTACCGTACCGGCGAGCTCAACTGGCAGGACGAGCTTGCGCTCATCCCTAGCAACGCTACGGCGTACACGGCCAAGTACTCGCAGCCTGCGCTGTACATCGGCGGTTCGCTCGACTCGGCGCTGCCTCCCATCTTGTCGACCGGTATGGAGACGTACTTCGACAGCTTGTCAAGAGGCGAGGTGAATGGTACGCATTGGGTCATGTGGGAGAAGCCCGAGGATGTGAACGGTTATGTTGGCAACTGGCTGAGCAGCTCAGTATTGGGCAACCTGAGTCTCGGTGTCAATGTCACGGCTGGAAGCGCTCTGGCTTTGCTGTGATCGGTGACATGTCGGCGGAGGAAGGTCTTGCCTGGGAGTCGCATGGCAAGGACAACGATGCGTATGACTATGAAAATCAGTATATAATAGAAGCATATTACAATTGTACAAACGAGTTTCCAGAACATGCCGCTGTGATGGTTGAACGCAATCAATCGATCGATTTCATGTCCTGAAGTCGTCAACACTGCAAGGAAAAGTATAGTGGGGTGAGGGATGTGCGATGATGCAGCTGCAGGAAGGGACCATCCGTTCACTGCAGCCCGGGCAGGGCCTGGAACTGGACGCTGGCAGCGCTACCTAGGTACATGCCTAGGTACCTTAGTTGAACCCCACCGGAGCCACTGACGCCGACCTCCGACTCCACTCAAAATTTCCAGCTCTCACTTCATCCCACCTCAGACAAGTCCGAGGCCATCCTCCAGATCGTTTGCGCTTCAATTGAGAGGATTCTCTGCTTTCCCGTTGTTCCGAAAGATATTACGACAATGGCTACCTCTAAGGGCCTTCCTCGCGATACATTCGCCAAGCTCTCCCCTCACCCCTTCCTCCTCGCAAACCTCCAGCCTCCCGCGCCCGCCAACGCTGCCAGAAGCAACGGCCGCGCACCCAACGAAGCCCGAATTCCCAATGTCAACACTTCCAGCTTGACCCATGCCAATGGAAGCGCCGTTGTGCGGACGGGTGATACAACTGTCATCTGCGGTGTTCGCGCCGAAACACTTCTGGCCTCCGACATCCCCAACTTCCGCACCGCTGCGAATCTCGACGATGAAAACGGCAAGCCCAGCTCGGAGCTGAAGGACTACGACTTGCTCGTGCCCAACATCGAGCTCGCCACCGGCTGCGCACCGCAGTTCCTCCCCGGCGTACCTCCCACAACACTGGCACAGACCCTGAGCACGAGAGTTTATTCACTGCTGCATTCCTCCAACCTCGTCGACGCGGAGGACCTGAGAATATGGTACACCCGCCCTGCCGAGAAGGCCGAGATGGAGGGCGATGATGGAGACGACAAGATGGATGAGGACGAGGACGAAGAGAAGTCTGAGGGTGAAAGGGTTGTCATGGCATACTGGGTTTTGTACATCGACATCTTCTTCATCTCGTTCGATGGCAACCCCTTCGACATTGCCTGGGCTGCTATCCTGGCCGCCCTTCGCGACACAACGATACCCATCGCACGATGGGACGCAGACCGCGAGATGGTCGTCTGCTCCCGAGAGAGCCCCAAGCCCCTGACGTTGCACGGCTTCCCTATCGCCTGCACAGCTGGCGTCTTCACAGGCAAAGAGACGACGGATCGGCCTGCTGCCGGCAAGTTCTGGACTCTGGTCGACCCAGACAGGTTGGAGGAGAGTCTATGTGATGAAGAGGTAACAGCAGTGGTGGACCGAAGCGAGGGAGAGACGAAGGTATTGGCGATATCAAAGCATGGAGGAACCGTACTGCAGCCGCAGCTCATACGGGAGTTTGTAGGTGTTGCAGAGCGGAGATGGGAGCAGTTTTACAAGGCCATGGCATGAAGATAATGATACCCACCAAAAGGAAGACATGAAAATCCAAGACGTTTGGGCAAAGGAAGCCGTTTCCTCTTATGTATCCTCAGGTTGTGCTCTACCCGGCCAAAGACTGCAACCGATCCCCCCCTATCGTGAGCTTTGATGACCCAGCCGCCTTTCACCCACCAGCCGCCTTTAGTGCGGTCCGGGTGAAGATGAAAGCGCATACCTACTTGAGCCCCTCAACTTCCATTATCTTTTCTCTGACACGATCTTCTGAAGCTGCTAAGCCTCTCTCTTCACATCACCTTAAAAAATCAGCATCACTTGAGATAATCATCACCACTTTCTGGAAATTTTGCTTCAGACACACCAAGCATCATCATCCAGCAATGGCCAATCTTCATTCTCGAATCCAGGAGGCCTCGAAGGAGGAACTCGTCCAGATCCTCAAGGCTGTCTGCAGCTTCACCGACACCCACTACCACGTCAAGAGCGTCCTCGACTACCTCGACGACAAGAAGCAGTCGGAGGCCGCCGCCGCCGCCAAGCGTCGCCTGTCTACCCGCGCCTCCTTGTCCAACAAGAGCTGGGCCCAGCCGCTCCCCAAGACTGTGAAGCGCAACATCAAGATGTGCGAGCTGTGCGAGCTGCCCTTCGTCGAGAAGGAGAACACCAACGAGTCTTGCCTGTCTCACTATGGTAAGTTGCGATCCATCCGAGACGTTCCCTGTTCAGTGTGGAGTGAAAGTATGCTTACGAACTGCGTTCGACGCAACAGGCAAGTGGCTTCTCGAGTGCGAGAATGAACACGAGGTCTGGTTCGCGGATCTTGACAAGGCCGGCGAGGAGTTCACTTCCAACAAGGAGGCCATGTGCATCGTCGACTGCTGCAACAGCCAGCGTGGCGCCAGCAAGGGTTGCGTCAAGGCCAAGCATGTCGCCTTGGTCCCTGATGTCGACACCAGCGAGGACTCTTCCGACAACTAAAGGGTTCACCGACAACACGATAACGAGACATGATTATGATACCACAAGGGCATTACAATTTGGGGGTATAGGTCTGCTTGATTTTACAGAGTCGTCGGTACCTGAACAAGGTGTCGCAGAGTGCGCCAGGAATTGTTACGAGGCATCAGAATAGGTCAAAACGGGTTTTCACTAGCAGACAGGAAACAATCATTAGGGATCGACAGTAGTCTGGTTTACTTGTTTCGGTTCATAGAATCAACTTAGCAAAGAAAACAGAGCTTCGTCATCTCCCACAAGGATCGAGCCAAAGTCTGCGAAACACGGAACGCACAATGAGCGTGCCGCGGTGAAGATATGTATTCCACAATTCGAGCCACCTTTTCAGACTTTATTCCAAGGCAGTAGATACTAGGGAAATTCCTTCTACCGCCCGGCGCCGAGGAAGCCTAATGAAAGGCCCTCATGAGCCGCGAATCTACTGAATGTTGACTCGCGGCTTGGTTACCGAGCGGATGATGAAGGAAGGAAGAAACCAGAGACAGTCGCGCTTTCCTCGCGATGAAAATTTAGGCGAGCCAGCTACAGTGCCGAAATACAGTGCCCGCTGTGGCTTTCACACACTTCAGCCTCCGTTTTCCAGAGTTCCCCACCATGGAGCCCCATCGTCAATCTTCCTGGTTCCAACCTCAGCTCTCGACTTCCACGCAAATTTTCCCTCCTTGCTCTTCTTTCGACCTCACACTTTCCAACACCATGGAATCGCTGGCCGAGCAGACGTGGGATGTCATACTCCACGGCACTGGCCTGCAGCAGTCGCTGCTAGCCTTGTAAGCTCTCTTCCTGGCCTCTCTTTTTCTTTTCCCAGCCCAACTCGTCGTCGTCTTTCGGCATCGTTGTTTCTTGAAAAAGCCTCGATCTGACTGACGCAGTCTCGTCTGGCCGTGAAGAGCCCTCTCGCGGTCAGGAAAGCAAATTCTGCACCTCGATCCCAACGAGTACTATGGCGGCCCCGAAGCCGCCTTCAGTTTGCAAGAGATTGAAGAGTGGGCGACTGCGAACGCTACTCCCGCCGACGATGTCGCCGGATCACCGCGCGTCTTCTCGTCAGTGACGGTGAGCAAGCCCGAGGTAGCAACGGGTTCCGGACCTTCACTCTCTTTCCCGAGAGCCTACTCTCTCGCTCTCGCGCCGCAGATCATACACACCCGCTCAGAGCTGGTGAAGCAACTCGTATCGTCGCGCGCGTTCCGACAGATAGAGTTTCTCGCCGTTGGGTCCTTCTTCATCTACACCCCACCAGCTACCGGTAGCGGGATCGAAGCCGGAAAACCGAGCCTTGTGCCGATCCCCTCAACCCGCGAAGCCGTCTTCTCCACAACTGCTATCCCCGGAAGGGCGAAGCGGTCGCTGATGAAGTTCCTCAAGTTCGTCTTCGACTACAACTCGGAAGACAACAAGGGCATATGGGCTCCACATGCCGACAAGCCTCTGTCGGAGTTCCTGTCATCGGACTTCAAGCTGGACACCGCTCTGCAGACCTACGTCGTCACGCTTACCTTGAGTCTGGACGGCAAGGTCACAACCAAGGACGGCTTGGCCGCTATCCACAGGCACCTCTCCTCCATGGGCGCCTTCGGGCCAGGCTTCGCTGCTGTGTACCCCAAATGGGGCGGTCTCTCTGAGATCGCGCAAGTCGGTTGCCGCGCTTGCGCCGTCGGCGGCGCAGTCTACATGCTAGGCACAGGCACGAAAGCTACGCGCCAGCTCGACGAAGCCCGGGAAGATTGCGCTTGCTTCGAGGTCGACCTAACCAGCGACGTTACGGTGAAATCCCGGATGTTCGTTCGCGGCGCTGAGGGGATTGCCTCCGGCGGCCAGCGTGTGAGCAGGTTGACTGCAGTCATCAACTCGCCGCTCTCGTCTTTGTTCGAGGCTGTTGGCGAAGGATCGCCTACACCAGCTGTAGCAGTCATTGCATTCCCGGCCAACTCCATCGCCGATGTTGCATCAGCATTCCCCATTTACGTCTTTGCTCATTCAAGCGAGACTGGGGAGTGTCCAACCGGACAGAGTAAGTTAAAACATTCCCCTATTTCTCCCTGTTTTAAGCCCTCCATCGTACACATGATGATTTCAGAAAAAAACTTATCTACATTGCCTGAGCTCTTGCTTTGACGTAAACTTCTGTGGAACTGATTGTACACATTTTCTTCACACTTTGACCTGCAACTACCTCGTATTGTCTTGTCACACGACTAACAGGGTCACTGTTTAGGCGTTCTCTACTTTGTCACTCCAATGACACCAACCTCAGCCGAAGCCTTGGAAAAGGCTTTGGCTTCGTTGCTTTCTGCCCTCGGCGATAGCGAACACAAGCCACAGGCGATCTACAAGGTCGCGTACCAACAGGCACACGCGGCTGCGTCAAATTCCGCAGATGCATCAGAGGTCCTTCCCAGCCTGCCGCTCGATCTTGCCTTCAGCGACACGGCTCTGGAGCCGATCAAGGATGTCTGGACGAAAGTCATGGGTCCGGCGGCCGAGGATCCCGACATTGTCTACATGAAGTTTGAGGATCGGGAAGGAGTTGGCGATGAGGAGGATGTCTACGAATAGTCTAGCTTTTCCAATGAGTGCACGTAATAATGAACCTCAATGACATCTTCAAAATCAAGAACTTCTTCTGGTGAATGTAGCTAATGTGTGTTCGATGTTTAGCAAGTCTTCTGCCCGTATGTGATCCCAATTCCTCGAGATAGCAATTCCAAGTTCCCAGATTCTCCACCAGACCGATCGATACTTTAGTCCCTAGATGACTAGAATCGCCTTCTCACTTCGAGAAGAACCCCCTTTATCCTAATCCGGAAAATCAAACTTGTCGCAATGTAAAGCTGAAAATCAAAGACGCAGAAAATGTCAAACGAACCTCCCTCCCCGAACGAAACTTCTCAAGCAAACAAACTCTCCCCGATTCTTCCAGGCAATTTGCAGCATTAGGCACCCCGTGTCGTCATATCGTGTCGTAGAATCGATCGTTGGATACGCTATTCAGTTGTCAATCCTCGCTGTTGATGTGCGCCGTCATGTCAACTCCAATTCGAATAGGCCCAAAGGGCTGCAGATCCGCAACATGCTGCTCGACTGTAATGGCGTCCTTGGTCGCCAGAGCGAGAACATGATAGAACGCCTGGGCCGCGACGACGTGGTTCTGCTTCGTGGGCTCGATGAGATTGTCAAAATCAACCCATCGACGATATTTCTTCGCATCTCCCTCCTTGATTTGGCCCGTCTTCTTGGCTTCTTCCTCTGTCCATTGTAGGAACTCTCCACTTGCGGTGTCGAGCATCGATCGCATCCATTGAGAGTCGTTCTCACCTTCCTGCTGGGCAGTGATAAGGATCTCAGCTGGGTCAAGACCTTTAGGAGCCAAGTCCTGTGACGCCGGCATGTCGAAGGGAAAGGCGTCGAAGTCGTCCGTGTGCTGCGCATCATGTAGGGGCTCGAAAGGTGGCATGCTGCTTCCGCGGATACTGGCAGACTTCTGGCGGCTAGTGTTTTCATGCCTCCGGGCGCTGTGGCTGGCAACGGAAGAGCCCCTGCCCACCGAAGGGGTTTGGGCCCAAGGCATCAAGGACGATGAATGATTGTCGCGCATGGGCTGGCCAGCCTCCATGCCCATCTCGGGCATCGAATCGTCCCCGAAGGCCATGTCGAAGCCAGTGTCATCGTCCATAAGGCGGCTTTGCTGCGGTGTCTCATTGAGCCTGGGTCGAACGTTTCGGTCCGCAACTTCATTGCTGTTCTCTCCAAATGCTTCGCCTGCTCGTCTCCGACGGCCTTTGGGGGAAGGTGTCTGAGCCTCGCGTTCCTCTTCTGTGGGCGGGCCGTAAATGATGTCACGCAGGCCATTGCCCGCGAACAGCTCAGCTAAGGGGAAGTCAACCCCATAGGTACCCACGCCTCCAATACCCTTTCCAAAAAGAAAGAAGTAGGCGTTCTCTTTGGCTTGGTTTGCGTTGCCCCTGCGCCTTTTGATCGCTCTTTCTGTGTTATCGAGGTAGCCTTCCTGCCAGGATTTGAGAGTTGAACGGGAGAGCTGTGTGCCGTTATCTAGCTCTAGAATGCGGCGACGCTTGTTGGCAGGGGCAACTGCTTGGTCGCTCTGAACCTTCCGGGAGGCCTCAGGGACCAATGGCTCATCTCTCAAAAGCGGAAGAGGGTCGCTTCCGAGCAAGGGCACGGCATGTTGCGCGTCGACAGCAAGGACATCGCCAGCAACTTGATGATCGTCCGCGACCTGATTATGCTGAATCAGAATGTCGGCCTCGTCCATGTCGATCCCTGGAAGCTCAGGTAACTCAAGCTCGTCTTCGTCCAGGATGACTGCCCCGTTTTCGTCAATTGCTAGCTCCACGCCACCAAAGTTGTCGAAGTCGTCCAGAGTTCCGAAAGGGTCTGCATTCATGTCGAGTTCCATATCGTCCCGAGATCGAGGAAGGAGCGTCTTCTGTGCAGAGCCTTGCGCGAAGGGAGAAGGCAAGCGGAAATCTGGGATATCTGGCGACTGGGAAAAGTCGAGATGGAACGGGGAATTTCCGTGGCCACTGTTGTCAAGGAAGTCGATGGAATCGGGGAACGGACTGAGTTGTGACTGCGACTTGTTTCTGGAGCCTGAAGATGGCTGACTGCCAGAAACGAAGCAGGGACTACCGTCGTCGTCAATGGTGAAGTAGGGCATAACACTCGAAGGAACGAAGCCTGGGTCGTCGCTCAAAGTGATTTGCTCGCGCCTGGCAAAATTAGCAAATGTGTCGAGAGGATTGTCGGTGGATATACCTTGCTCTTCCGGCCTTGGGATCAGTCTTGTTGTTGGCAATGAGTCTAAGAAAGGTTCTCATCGTCGTTTGAACCTTCTCTGTATCGGTGAGCATATATTTACACTGGGATGAGTAAACACGGGAGACCCCATAGAGGAGATTGCTTTGTAGACGGAGTGAGATGGGAGCTCCCGGTTGAATGATCTTCTCGCAAGCCTTCCGAATATCGACATCTTCGATAGCCCGACGGGACACCTTTTTGTGAGTGCCAGCGCCACGAGGACCAATAGTCGCAATGACCCTGGAGATGAGGGGTAAGTAGAAATATTATTTCATACGGACAGGATCTTGCTCACCAGATGGTCGCAACACCGAATTGGTGGCTGGTGAGGACTGCTCGGTGTTAGTGACAGGTGGGATCCGGTGTTCGACTGGAATGACCAACTCTCGTGGCTGTAGAACATGATGGTTTCTACACAAGAGATCAACGCCGTCGTGGCGGGAGTTGAAGCTTCGAGACAATTAGACTTGGCAGAAAGTAGGAGGTTGGGCGTGGTCTTTGTGGTGTTGGTGCGGAAGTGACGGGGTGAGTGTGGAAGAAAGGAGAAGGGACGACATAGAGTGAGGATAAGCAGTCGCGTCGTGGCGCGTCAACAGATGAGGCAGGCTGAAAGGTGCCTTCCGTATTCGAGCATTGTTGCCTCGCGGTTCCCCAAGTGCTCCTGCCATGTCGAGAGTCTTCCAAGTTGCAGAAGGCACGTTGTCCAATGGGCAACTGCCTTGTCTCGTGAGCACCTACCTCAGATGAAGACAGGTACGGGTACGCGCAGTTTGAACTGTTCTGATGGCTCACAACTGCTAATTCTCAAGGTAGGCACTTACACCACTATGTCAGGTACCTACCAAACACCATTCTCAATGGAAGGTACCTTAGCATGATATCATGCTGGAAGCTCTACCTTACAGGCTCGGCAGAAAGTCAAGGGAGTAGCTGACTGATAGTACCCAATTCTTAACGGACCTTGTCAGAACGATGGAGATGATTGTTGAGCTTGTATTGTTTTGGTGGCATGATTGATACATATTCTAGTCTTGGTAGTCCGTCGCTTGCCGTCATCATCCGTTTTGTTACGTTAGAAGCTACCTACCTTACAAAGATACCATGCCCAGGCATTATCTCAACGTCACAGCTAGTACATTTTGCAACACAATTTGGACTTGGCTAGCGTTTACGGCGTTGGGCATCTCGGGGAACAAATAACCCCAAACTGATTTAGACTAAGGTACTAGTAGCGTGGTATTTCTACTCAACCAAGGTTTGAGGAAGAGAAATATCAGAAATTGAGGAAAGATGTGTGCACTTGGAACTTTTGAGATGGTTTCGCCAGAGTTACTCGTACGAGAAGTCAGGCTTTCTGATCAGGGTATCTTGAATTGACAAGAGGAAGCTCCAAGTAACAGATAGTTTGAAATCGCGATAGAGGAGGACCACAATAGAAGGAAGCTTGGTTTTGGAAGTTGAAGCCTCAACTAAGAATGTTTTCATATCAAACCCAAACTTCGATACGCTTCTGGTTGTTATTAATGGACTTACAAACATAGAAAACCGTCGGCAATAAGTTAGCCCAATAAAAATAGTCAAACGTCGCTTTATGAGCAAAGTACTTTGCGGGATCGCGAATGATAGATTCTTGTGGTTGAGACTTGAGGTTACGATCAGACAACAGATGACATAAGCACCGGACGGTGTGCACAGATCTTGGGACCCCTGCAAACCCCGACAGGAAGCGCCTGGGTTCCAGTACGCCCGGAAGTCGGCAGGCTAATATTCCGCTGGGTCGTTGCTGGGTCAGGCCTGGGTGCCTTTTCGCAGTAGAAAATCATCACCACGGGCCATGTGAAGTCGACCACAGTAAGGCGCTTTCTTTGTCCTCCCAGAGCCAAAGGCACAACAGCACCTCGGCGGCCACCACACACTCCTTTTCCCAGTCTTCTTTACCTCCCTGCGTCCGAGTTAGAGTGCGATTGATCGTGTTTGCCTGCCTCGAAGCACGTCGAAGCTACCCATACCGCCGCTTCTGCGACAGCCACCCCGGACCATATTACTCGACGAGGCAACATCCTCCTAATACAAACGACACGATGGCGCCTCTTATTCTTCACAATGTTCCCGATGAGGAGCTTTACGTTGGAGACGACGGCATCAAACGACCCTACGCCATGGTTTTCCCACAGTACGTCTCAAAGCCAACCGCGCTCGACTGCAAGCTCAATGCCACGCGCAATGACATGCCGCTAACACAGACTTTCCTCCCCTTAGACAAGAAGGCCTTCCTGGCGCCCGCCGCCGTGGCGTAGCAGAGACTGGATCTTTTGGAAAATCAACACGCCGCTCGCGCTCGAGAACAGGAACTCCCGCCGGCCGTCGCGAAAACCCAACAGTAGCAGCCGCCGACAAGATATTTGGCGACTGGATCTCCTCCCAAGCCACAACTTCCAACTCCAACCTGGCGCCCTCATCAACATCGGGCAGCGGCGCGACGAATCCTTCCTCCGCCTCCGGTCCCAACGCCGCACCCCAGCGCAAGACCTCCGGCCTCTCGCAGCCGCCCCTCCTTGCAGCCGACGACGCGCCCGCCGCCGCCGCCGAGCCCCGCGTAACCCGTCACGTCCCGACCGAAGTCGTCCTCCGCGGCTACCGCTCCGCGTCGCAACAGTACGCCGCAATCTCCCACTACGAGCAGCTCGCCGGCCTGATCTGCGAGGACTACCCCCGCGAACCGCCCCTCGAGCAACGCCGTTACAAGTCAGAGCTCCGCGATCCTGCCTTCACCCGGCGAAGAGGCCTCACGCCTGAGGAGCGCGCAAAGGTCAACCGCGCCGACGGCGGCCAACACTGGATCGAGGTCACCTTTGAGTCCGCAGACGCCGCCGATGCCGCCGTCTACGCCAGCCCCCAGCGCGTGCTGGGCTACCTCGTCTACGCGGAACCCTACCACGGCCACCAGCCTGCCCGCGACGAGCCCATCCCAGACGTCGACTCCCTCGTTCCCAGCGCCGACGATCTCGGCCGCTCACAGTCCGTCCCAGCAGGCAGCTTCGGCACACACCGGACGCCGCGCAGCAAGCACCGCACCGCATCATCCAACAAGCCCACCGGCGGCAACCCCTTTGCCCTCCCCAACGCCCGCTCCATGAGCGACCTCTCTCCGCCCACATCTCTCACCTCCTCCAACACAATCGAGACGGCCACAATCTCCAACGCGACAAACTCGTCCGCGACGGTGACCGCCGACCCCTTTTCGCAGCAACAATCGGCGCTGACCACCGCCACGACGACCACCGAAGACAGCCTCTTCTGCCGGCGCATCCCCACCGCGCGCAAGGCTAAGCTCCTCCCCGCCGAGCAGGCCCTGCTGCCGCAGCAGAGCTACACCCAGAGGCTGGTCAACATGGTGCCGTTTTTGAAGTGGTTCAGCGGCTCCATGATTGGCAACGAGGTGCCGCGCACCGACAACGGCGACTTTGACTGGAACCGCGCGAGCTTGTACTGGAAGGTCATTTGCTGGCTCGACTCTACGTTTGGGCTCTTTGGCGGCGAGATTATGAGCGCCGACAAGGACGACTAAAGGAGTTGATTCAAACCATGGATTGGGAGACGAGCGAGAATTTTCAATAAAGGGGGGCTTGTGAGTGTTTAACTTGACGGGCGAGATGGACGGCGTTTGGTTTGGAAAGGGGCTGGTAAACGGGCGGGGTTTTAAAAAAAGTTTCATGTTCTATACGAATACCACGCGCAAAACTACTTTGTTTATAGTTCATAGATTTGGGCGAGCAGAAGCAGGTTCGGTCAGAGACCAAGCACCGAAACAGAGATTTGAGAGGCTCAGTCAGAGGATCACTATATGCCCAGGTCAAATCTCGTCATGTTTAGAAGTGTGTGAAAGAAGACTTTGCCAACCAGAATATGTATAACAGACTATGTATCTATGCAAAGCACCAAAGGGGATAGCCAGAGAAGCGCTTCGCCCCCTGAATCCCTCAGGTCAGGTGATTGTAGAAAGATAAACAACGCCGCCTCTAAATGGGTATAACAAGAATGAATCATGAGTCTTTTTCGCCGCCGTCAAAACCCCCGGGCAGAGTAACCACTGAACCTCGGACGGGAAACCAAAACATCTAGGCGTCGTCTTCATTCACACTCCACCGCCGTCCAGGCCGCCCCCTCTCCTCCGACCCGCTCGCGATTGCCGCCCCGTCTTGCGCGGTGGTATCTTCCACGACGGCAGTGTCTCCAAGCAACGCCGCAGACTCTCCTTCTTGTTCTTCTTCTTCTTCTCCGCTTTCAGTATGACTTTTGGAGTCAACCGGCTCGTCGCCCCAATTCGGCCTCTCCCCGAGAGTCTCGTCCTCATCTTCCTCCTCGAGCACATCATGCCGCCTCTGTTCCACCTCATTCTCAGGGGTCTTGTCCTCTTGTCCCCTCGACTCCTCACTCAGACCGACCCCCAGACTGTCAAACGTAACGTCGGTAGCGTGCCGCCGGATAGGCTGGGGTGAGAACGGTCTCACGCCCCTGGGTCGGTTGAAATTCGTCTCGGAAAAGATGCTATCCGTATCGTTGTCGTCGCCGCCGAAGCCGGGCGACGGCCCTCCCGCGGCGGCAGCGAGACTCTGGTACCGCTCCGGGTCGCTGAGCAAACTATCGCCCCGCGCGTGGCCCCCTCGCCTCGTCATATCCGACGCCGCGTCCGCGAGGATACTCTTGGGCGGGAGAATGCTAAACAGCTTGGCCGTCTCGGCCGACCCGCCGCCACCGCCTACACCACCGCCAATAACGCTGCCCAGCCCAGAGTGGTCACCGACCTCGTCGCTGGCAAACAGATCTGCGCCCTTTTCCAACAACTCGTCCAGCCCGCCGCCGCTCCACCCTTTGCGCGCAAGCGACTCAAAGATATCGACCTCGGCGCGCACAAGACTACACGACGATTCGAGGATCCGCCCGCTGGTATCCTGGCTCTCCCGCAGCAGCGTCCGCGCGTGCTCCCCGTGCAGGGAAGTCAACCCGTCAAGCCTCGTCGTCAGGTCCACCAGGTGTGCCCTGAACTTGCCCACGTCTCTCCTGCGCTGCTTATGCAGCTTCAGCCCTTCCTTTTCCAGCTTCCTGATCTCGGCGTTGCGGGCCTTGACCTCGCGCACGTAGGCCTCCTCCTCGTCGTCGACGCGCTGTCGCCATTGGTCTAGCTCGTGAAGTAAAGGGACCTCGAAGTCGCGGTAGACGGTCTCGGAGAGAATCTGCTGGTGGTTCGCGACCAGATGGTGGACGCCCGAGGCGGAGAGAAGCAGGTCGGCGGTGCAGGATCCCTTTGGTCCGCCGGCCGTGAAACTTGCCGACAACAGGCCTCCGCCGCCACCACCGCCTCCGCCTCCCGAGAGGCCGTTTATGCCGCCCGATAGAGACTCTGCGCGGGCTTCTTTGAGCCTTGCGCAGGATTCGAGTGCGGAGCCGAAGGCGGAGGCTGCGGTGGAGAGGGATGCGAGGGCGATGCGGTAGGCCTTTGCGGACTGGATGAGGTCGGTGTAGGCGGTCTGGGAAGACTCTAAGTCGGACTTTGTGAGGACGGCGTGTACGGGTTGCGGTGGTGGCGGAAGGGGCAGATGGTAGGAGGAGAGCGGGTTCGCGGTCGAGGCGAGGGAGTAGACTGGCGACGCGGGGACCGGCGGGAGTTGTGAGGGAGTTGGGGTTATGGGGCGGGAGTCGCCTGGTGCGCCTTGCGATGCCATCGTCGGGCTTGGAGCTTCTGGAAGTTTTGCGGTGACTTTTCTCCCTTTCGCCTTTTGGATGCCGTTTCGTTAAGTTTCTTCTTGGTTTCTGTTGGCGATAGCAACAGCTGCGGGGAGTATGGTATCTTTGCGAGGGGAGGAAGATCTCGGGGCTTCGGGGTTGCTATGTGCCGGGATGTGTGCGACAGGACGTGGAGTTGTGGGCTTTGTTTTGTTTATCGTGGTCTTCACAACGCCAGTGCGGACAGTGACATGCTCAAGGGGCCCGGTGAAGATCAAGAATTAGAAACCTGACAGCTTGCTATGAGAAGCGCTCCCACCGGGACGATGAAGATAATGAAGAAAAGAAAGAGGGAAGAAATGGGAAAGTTGTGGTTGGAGATCTTTTTTTTTTTTTGGAGAAACGCAAGACGAACGCCGCCGCTGCTGCCCGGGTTGCTGCTGGATGCAGATGCAAGCTGCAGCTTCCCAGGACGGACAGCACAAGGTCACCACCCGTTGGGACTTGGGAGGGTTCCGGCTGGCTCAGGATTGGGGCATCTGGCGCATCTGGCGCATTCTGGGCTGGCGTCTTTTGGATGTCCATGGGGGCCCATGGCGCTGGGAGACCTTGTGATTCGGGGGACGATGAGGTGGGGGGAAAGGGGACCCGCAGGTGACCCTGGAAGATGCCCTGCTTTGCGGCAGGCGGGAGGGAAGACTAAAGAACAGTTGCTGCAGCACCACACACCGCAGTGAAGAATGAAGGTGAGATAAGACGACGGCCCTTGGACGAGACAACGCTAGCGCAACCAAACGGCGGATTGACGAGCTTGCCACAAGTTGATTAGCTTAGTCCGACATGGTTAGGTAAGCTTATTAATTATGTGCATGTCTGTGTATGTTGTGTGCTTAGGAATGTGAGGCAAGGCGACCCTCTCACTGAGTTGCTTAATGAGAGACATTGTCCATGATCGCATTTGAGTGTGATCTCACTCTCATCTCTCACAACGGGTCCACGAGGCAATTTGAAACGAAACTACTTCTCAAATAGGCTATCGAAGATGAGGCAACTTATTCTACATCATCGATTTCGTTCGCTCTCACTTTACAGGACCATGTATACATACATTCTCATCGAGCGATTGGCTTAGTGAACGTAGGCTTTTGGTAATGGAAATGATGTATCATGTTGTTTATCTTGAGCAAGACTGGTTCTATCGAACATCCTCTGTCGAAAAAGACCATCTTCCCTGGCTCCTAGGCTCTCTCTATCCTTCCGTTGCCTCGTGCTCTTTCTACATACATAAACACATCTTCCAGCTACTCCTAAAAAGATCTCTGCCAACAGCACCCTACTTCTGAGTAGGCGGGAGTCTCTCCAACAAGAAAGCTTCAACGGCGTCCAACTCCTCAGGGCAAGCGGCGTGACCCATACCCCTGTGATTGATGTCAGCATTCCGCCCTAATTGTGACCTGGCCCTATGAAGAAGGAAGTGAGAGGGCGACAGAGAATACTCACGGGTAAAGCGTCCTCGACACCTTATACCCAAGCCCCTTCAACGCATCCATACTCAGCGCCCCCAACTCAGGCCTGACAAGCGGATCCGCGTCGCCGTGGCCCAACCACACGGGCGTCTCCTGGTTCGCCTTCTCCTCGGGGACCAGGCCGGCAAACTTGTTACTCAGCAGCAGCCAGCACGATAAGCCCACGATACCGCCGATCCGGTGCTTGCCCGTCAGACCCGAGAAAATAGCCATGGCGCCGCCCTGGCTGAAGCCGCCGAGGACGACGCGCTCGGCGGGGATGCCGGCGTCCACCTCGGCCTGGACGAGCTGCTGGAAGTACTCTGACGAGGCGAGGATCCCTCGCTCGTCTTCGGATTCGCGGAGGGCCTCGACTGTGCCGTCGAGGACTTTCTGTGGGTGGTGGATGGTGGTTAGCTTGGGCGATGATGGGGATGATGATGATGATGATGCTTCTGCCTGTTTTTGGCGGTGGCGGTCGAAGATTGTAGCGCGACTTACAATGTCGAACCAACCCGGCATGCGCATGCCCCAGTTCTGTGCATGATGTTAGTAATCGGCAACGACTTCCGCATTTTGATAGGGAACCATTTGAAGAAACTGAGACAGGGTATCAACTTACACAGGTAATGGGGATCTGAGGCGCATGAGGCAGCACAAACTTGACCTCATCAAGCCTCTGCCTCCGCCGCCAGTTCTCAACGGCGCTCGCCCAGCCGTGGCCCGTATCGCCGAGGCCGTGAGCAAAGATGACGGTGGCCGTGTGCTTCCCCGCGGCCGGGAACACGAGCGGGGCCGTCCGGGCGACGGAGGACGACATAGCTTCGTAGGTGGTAGGGGGTGAGAGTAAGTCGGGACCTTGCGCTTCTGCGATGCCTGCGAGAGACGGGCGATGAGGTGGCAGGGGGTGGAGCTCTTCTGCCTCAGAAAGCGGATACTGCTGCTCGAGGTGCCTTAGTCGTTGTTGCTCCTGTTGCGGTGTGGCGGCGGTGAAGGGCGCGAGGAGGGTGAGGAGGATGGTTGTTGCGGTTACTCGCGAGACGAGCATTTGCGGATTGTGTCAAGCAAGGGCAGCACAGGACAGACAGAGCTGAGAGACGACGCGGCGAAAGCTCGGGCGGCGGGCCGATTAAGATGTGGGTTTTTCTTACCCTTTCTCCGCTGGCGTATGCGGGGCGCTGATCCGGGCTCGGTACCGTTTTCCAATGCAGCTTGCACTGTCCCATTCGTGGTAACGGTTGCTTACTCGTAAGATATGCGAAGGAAACACAGAGTTCACCGCCGGTGTGGCTACATCTCCTGGTGCACTTGCTGTGAATCGAGCTCGACCCCGTAGCCTGTCGTGGCGTACTACTTAGAGCTGCGGGTGTATTGATTCTGGAGCTCGAACTTAGGTAAGGTAGATACTCCACCAACCAGCCCAGTTTGACCTGAACCGTCGGCCTTGATAAATACCTCCTGGCTAGTGAGACGAATGGATTGATAGGCTACGAGAAGATTTTTGTCATTGTGTATTCTTTGCGCCATTGGAACGCATTCTTTACTTATAGTGATGTGGTGCAAAGTCATAGAATGATAGCAGTCAGCACCCATCACCTCACTGACGAGCAGGGGGAAGCTCGAAGCTCACCCTAGAGCTTAGACTGCTCTACACCTCGAGCTTCGCACTCCGTCAGGCCATGAGATCAGTAGATGGCCCAAACATACCTCTCTTAAACCCCCTAATCCGTAATTCCGGTAATCCTCCGACCACGATCTCACGACCACGATCTCACGACCACCTCGGCGCATTTTGGTACGCAAGTGGGTGACACAATCATTTGCTGCTCGATACCCTAGCTCTATTCCTGGCATCCCTAGGGCACTGTTCAAATTGTTCCTATTTCCCCTAGTGACCCCGTTACTACTACAGTCACGGCAGCTCTTACTGTCTTGTTGCTCTTATTGATTTCTCGCTCTTACTATTTCTGTTATTTTCGTTGTTCTTATTCTTACCTCCTATCTTTTACGTATTCTTGAAGCATGTACTTTGTATGGAATAGGATGATTATTAATGGCCCTGCGTTGACGCATCCTACCTCAGTTCATCGCCCACCTCGAACGGCCCTCCCACTCCGCCCGCCCGCTAAGACAACAGTGGACCCGGCCGCGCGCGACGAAAACAAAATCACCCGCCATCCGGCCCCTCCTCAACCCCCGCGCCGCATCCCTCATCCGGCCCGTCGGGTAGCGCCCAACGACCTCCGGGGGTTCATATATGCTTGACTCCCGTCCCGCTCCAGGACGATCACTCAAACACACAACATCGCGGGCGTGTCAAGTCAACTACTAAGCCACCAACCGCACTCCAAGATGCCTCGTCTAAATCCCCTATTCCTCCTGTCCCTCACAGTCGCTCTAACGGCCTACATGCTCTCACCTACTCTCCGCGCCTTCCTCACATCAGTGACGACAACTCTCATACCCTCAACTTCCTCTCAAATTACAGACTCACCAAAGATGAAGAAACCGCGGATGCCAGTCTACTTCTTCTCCCACGGCGGCGTAAGCAACCCCCCCCCCCCCCCCCCCCCCCCCCCCCCCCCCCCCCCCCCCCCCCCCCCCCCCCCCCCCCCACAAATACCACCCCCCCCAAAAAGAAAAAAACCGCGGCCCCCCCCCCCCTTCTCCCCCCCCGCGGGCGAAACCACCCCCCCCCCCCCCCCGTCCCTCACTCTCACTCTCACCATATGCCTCGCCCTCACCATACAACCTCATCACCAAACTAACACTACAAAGCCAGACGTGATGTACAACAAGGCCCACCCAGTCTACCCAACCCTCCAACACATCGGCGCCGAAATAACCTCCCTCGCCCCCACCGCAATCCTAGTCTTCTCAGCCCACTGGCAATCCCCCTCCCCCACCACCATCTCAATCAACGCCGCACCCGGCCCCGCCCCGCTAATCTACGACTTCTCCGGCTTCCCCCTCCACTACTACTCAGCAACCTACCCGAACACCGGCTCCCCGCAGCTCGCATCCCGCGTCTGCTCCCTCCTCTCCGCCTCCCACGGCAGCAACATCTCCTGCGTGCCCACGACGGACCGCGGCCTAGACCACGGCGTGTGGGCAGGCTTCCACGTAGCCTTCAACCCTTCCACAAACCCCCTCAAGGTCCCGCTAGTCCAAGCATCGCTCTTCCGCTCAGAGGACCCGGATGCTCACTACCGCCTCGGCGCCGCCCTCTCCGCCCTACGCGACGAAGGCGTCGTTATCATTGGCGCGGGCATGTCCGTTCACAATCTCTACCACATGAGCAACGATCCGCGGCCGATGCCGTACGCCGTCAGCTTCGACGACGCTCTCAAAGAGGCTGTCGAGGTCTCCAACGTCGCCGAGAGGCAGGACAAGATGGCTCAGGTCTGCAGGCGGCCCGATGCCAAGCAGGCTCATCCGTACATGGATCATCTCATGCCCATTCACGTGGCCGCCGGGGCTGCGGGGGACGACCGCGGGAAGCAGCTGTGGACCATGAAGGAAGGCAGCTTCGCGTGGGCTCAGTATCGTTTTGGGGATGTCCCGAAATCCGTGACATGATGCCATCACAAGAGCCTTGCGTTCGCAACAAAACCATGTATTAACATTGAACTTTGTAACAACACATCTATGATACCCACGAGTCATCGTTAATTATAAAAGTGTCTGACAATAGACTTGCATTAAGCGTTTTACTGAACCGAATACGTCTCCATTACGAGAAACCCACAGTCTCTTCTCATACGAACGCCCCATGGACTGGTGGCCGACGCCTACTGCTGAGAAAATTCTCCACCAAGTGATGGCTGCCAGCTGCTTCGGCTTTCCAGTCAAGGCTCGCGGTATCGGATCTCTCACCATCATGCGAGTCGCTGGAGTCTAGTAGCCGACGAACGGACCCCCGCCTCTCCCTGGGAGACCCGCCATCGTGACTGGCCAGCATGGGACCGAATTGTTTCTCGATTGTCAACCCTGGGCTGGAAGCAGACGTTTGAAGCCCTTTTTTTAGTCCGGTGCGTCTGACTAATTTGACCGGAGATCGTGTCTTGGGCTGGAAGGGGGACTCGAAATTTTGGGCCTTTGGGATGGCGTCCATGCTGCGAACCTTGGAAGCTTGTCGATCTACGGCTTTAACGGGTAAGTTGCTATGAGAAAGACGAGACTGCAAAACCGGCATCGAAGGAGTCGTCCTCAAAGAGCTTCTGGGCGGAATTGGTGGAGGGTTGTAGATGCCACGAAGACGCCTAGCCACGCGTCCGCCCGTCTCAGGGATCGTGTTCTCGTCTCTCAAAGGTGTGGAGAACTTTGAATCGTCTATGCCAAGCTCAACGCGGCTGGCAGACGACACTTGACGTGGATTGTGGCTCGTCACTCTTAGTGGCGTTTGCAGTTTGGCCTTTCCTGTGCCCATAGCTCTGTACAAAGTTGGAGATTCAGGGTCCTCAATCTCTGCGCGCTCACGCACATGACCCAAGCTTCTAGGCATACTTGTCTTTGCGTGACGAACTTCCGTCAGGTGCTGAGTTCCAGTATTGGCCAACTTAGCGTCGGTATGCGCCGCATTGGCAGAGAGCCAAGTCTTCCACTCCACAGAACTTGCGTTTGAGACCGTTCGGCTCTGTGGCATTGTCGGTGTATAGGTATAAGAGCCACTTGGCAAGTAGCGTATTTGATGTGTGTTAATCACGGGTGTAGCATTAGGACCGAGATCCTTCGCAACAGCCTCCAAGCTGTTGGACATAGAGGGTGTCTGTCGATAATCAGAACCGGCCACTACATGGTTGGGGTGTCGGGGTGGTACTCTTGGTTCTGTTTGTCCCCCGACACTTTGTGGTAATGCACGTGGGGAGAGAAGATCGTCAGAGTATATACTTTCAGAGTAAGCAAGTCGGGAATCTTCCTTAGAGAGACTCGGGCGACGCCTTGTAGGTATAAGGTCGAGGTTCAGCATTGAAACTGATGGTGAGAGTAACTGATCTGAAACTGGAGCCTGTGACTCTGATCTGACCTTCTCTTGCAAGACCTTGCGATATGGACTCGTGGTGCGGAAGAGATGGCAAGTCGGGCTGCCAAAGAACGCCGAACTGCGAGTAGACAATGCTCTTGGTGGATTCGCGGTTTTATCGCCCTGCAAATTATACGGCTTCGAGGGCGAGTGGCCTGTTTCGACCCCGGCCATGGGTCTTGAGTAAGGCTTGTAAGCTTCAATGGTAGTCTCAGAAGCCGAACGCTGGCGATGATGCATTGTACTATCGGATGGGGATACCGCTTCATCATGAGCCGACTGAGGGCCTTCGGTCTCAACCACTGTTTTCAATCTTTGCTCCCACGGACTGTCATTGAAGACGTCGTCCTCTTGTAAAACACATCTTATGGTTGGTAGGTCTTGATTCGTAGCTTCGTCAAGTTCCTGGCCGCCGAGAGATGTCGACGAACCAACTTTGCCGTTCCAATTGAGACCGGTACTCCCATCACTACCATGCCGTAGCTGCTCTTCTCGTTGACTTATTTGCTTGCATTCGTCCAATCGCTTCATGAGGGCGGAGTAGACTCTGGCGCTATCGACTGATGGGCCGAGGCGGACGAGTTCATCCTGTTGCGGAGGTGGTGGTTCGGACTTGAATGGGTTACGGTCAGCAAGGCCTGGTCGCTGGAAAGAAGATGAGGACTTATGTGGTCCAATCTCTTTGATGACGGACAGCCGCTGACGCTCCCGCTCCCCGCCCCAAGTACTTTGACTATTAAGAGTATGAGTGCCCGAGCTCGTCCAACTGGTGACGCGAGATTTCTCATCCGATGCCTTTCTTTCACCTCCAATGCTCTCTATGCTTCCTTTTCGCGAGTGAAGCTTCTGGGTTGGGGAAGCATCGTGAAGAGACGGGACTCGTGAAGGCACTTGTGAGATCGAACACTCGTCCAACAACACAGGGTCCGCAATGTCCATGTATGCATCGTCCTGTTCGTTGTCAACGCCAACGAGATCTTGGACTACGTTCGAAACCTTTGAAGGAGGCCCGCTAGCTTCCACAACCAAATCATCCTTCTTACTCCGGCGGAACATATCTTTCAATTTGCTTTTGAGACTGCTTGAGACTTTTCGGGCCTTCTTTCGAAGAGAAGCGTCCTTATTGATCACGAAACCATTTTCCGGGCCAAGCGATTGAACATCGGCACTGAAGTCTCTCATGGATCGGCGTAAACTCAGAGACGCCTGGCCTTTCTTTGCTTTCGAGAATATCGTCGATGGTCGCGGTTTTAATTGCCGTTGTTCTTCGACGTCTTTGCGGAAACTGTCCTCGGCTTCTTGGACTGCGAAATCGATCTGCTGTCGGCTCCCAAGTCTGTCAGAATCCAGAACGCCCCGAATTTTGAGAAAGCTCATTGACTTTGGGTTCCTCAGCCCAAGAATCTTCTTCGGTGATGGCTTATTCTCCTTCATGTTTTGCATAGACTGTCGTCCCAAAGCAGGCTGTACATTCTCCTGCTCCGGAGACTCGCTGAAGTATGTCTTGCTTGGTCGGCGCAGACCGGTCGGATTCAAGGGGGCAAACATTGAGCGTGACTTGCGCAGTCTTCGGTACGATGCTGGAGCAGGTGCACATTCGTCTGGAGACCCGAATGATTCGCTCGGAGGTAAAGAATTGATGTAGTTGGTCGTATAAGTGCTCACAAATGGACGCTCGGCAGTACGACAAGTTCGGCTAGCGGGCTGATTGGCAACATCTTTGAGGACGCTCCGATGACAAACAGTCCCTATATCAGAAGAGTCATCGTTGATTTGACTTTGCTGTCGCTTGGTTCGAGCCCCTTGCTTCACAAATCGAATACTCTGCTGTCGGCGTAGACCCCCGGCATTGGAGCTGAGCTGATCCGATTGGTTTGGAAGCTGACTTGAGGGATTCTCCGACCAAGTCTTCAAGCTGAAAGGCTTTTGGAATTGCCTCAAAGATTCAATTCCCATGTCTACATCGGCATTGTGGTTCGCCCGAGAGAAGGATAGAGTGGCGGCAATATGAGCATCTCGTTCGGCAGTGGCTGGATCAATGTGCTCTAATCGTTGAACAGCCGAGCGAACGGAAGCCGTAGACTTGCTTCGAGTCAGAGTCGACCTCGACTTCGTACTGTTATGTCGCCGCATAGGGTGAGCGTGGGTGTATTAGGAGGAGGGCCTAGCGGAAGGAAGACACCAAATCTCGAGGCGGCTTAGGAATAAAGGGAAGTAGAGAGATTCAAGTGAAGCTGCTGTTTGTCGGTCGACGTTCGGAAACTCGGCCTGAGGCTAACCAAAAGCAAGCTGGGAGACTATGAAGAAGTATCGTTGAGAGTGTCAAATGATGAGCCGTGAATCCTTGAATGGAGGATGTAGCGGAGGGACGTTGTCCCTTGAGCAGGGCCACCAACAGCCAGCAGTTAGTGTAACGGCGAGCTCCATGACTGCTCCTTCTCCAAGATTGAATGAACTTTCAGAGGGAAGAGGTGGGAAGCCACGTCATGTCCAGGCGAAGGAAGGAGAAACGCTGACTGATCCCTTCCCTTGGCCTTTGGGGGGCAGGCATGAGATGGCACTTGGGCAAGAGCCAGCCGTTGTGCCATTACTTCCGCGCAGGGACCGGATCACATTCCAGTCTTCCCTCTTTCCCCTTCACACAGCGAGCGCAAGGTGCAGAAAGTCAGGCAAGCCAAGATCAGCTGGAGATTCAGGACTAGGCGGTTGTAATGCATTGTCTCAATGCCAGATTGACTCAGATGACGGAAGCTAGCCATGCAGCCATAGCACTAATTCCCCAAGAATTCTGTGACACTACTGTACTTGAATACACTCACTTCAATTCTATTTTGACCTGACAACCTCAACCCCAACGGCATGACAGATAGGCTTACTCATGGACGTCATTAAACTTTGGGCCTTCTCATACATGTCCAACCCTCCTGGGGCAGCAATGGTCACTTAGCAGACTTGAACAATCAAGATCACCGTGGTTGGAACTGGTTACAGTTAAGAAACTTATTGGTTGTGCTATGAGATCTGTATGTAGCTATGAAAGCGATGCATCCATCCTGTCCCATCCCGCAATAAACCTATGCGTACACTCTCATGGACCCAAAGAAAAAGGAAATAAAGACCATTCTAGCGCTCTATTATAACGCTTACAAAGAGGTCTCCCTGAGGAACTCCTTAAGCTCCTCGTCGACCAAGTTGTGGATCTTCTTGGCGAACTTCTCGGCCTTGGTGCCGACGCTCTTGGCACCCTTGACAACCTTGCCGGAGAGAACCTCAAAGTCCTCCTCAATGGCCTTCTCGAGGTCATCGATGGTGGTCTCCTTGGACTCCTGCTTGACAGTGTAACCGCCAGCCTTGACGATGGCAGTGTAGTTGTTGCAGCCACCGCCGTTCCAGGCGAGGACGTTAGGGGTGTCGCGGGGAATGTCGCTGAGGGCACCAACGGTACCGACGGCAATGAGAGCCTCCTTGAGCTTCTTGGGGGTGATGGGAGCGACAGAGTACTCGGAGTCAGAGGCGGGCTGGAGGGAAAGGTAGTAGGCCAGGAGACCGCAAATGTGGGGAGAGGCCATGGAGGTACCGGAGATGGTGTTGACGGCGTACTTGCTGCCAATCCAGGTGGACTTGATGTTGGTGCCAGGGGCGAAGATGTCAGTGCACTTTCCGTAGTTGGAGAAGTAAGAGCGGCGGTCGCCGAGCTCAGTGGCACCGACGGTGACGGCCTTCTCGGCAGCAGCGGGGGAGTAGTTGCAGGCATCGGCGTTGTCGTTGCCAGCGGCGACGGCGAAGTGAATACCAGCATCGACGGCAGCGTTCACAACAGCATCGAGAGCCTGGGTCTTGCCACCACCGAGAGACATGTTAGCGACGGAGCCCTTGAAGCCCTTGCGCTTGCCATCCTTGGCGGCCTGAACCTGCTCAGTGTGGGAAGTGGCAGCCCACTCAACACCCTTGACGACGTCGGACATGGTGCCGGAGCCGTTGGAGCGGAGAACCTTGACGGCGTAGACATTGGCCTTCTTGGCGACACCGTACTTCTTGCCAGCAATAGTGCCGGAGCAGTGAGTGCCGTGGCCGTTGCCATCAGCGTCCTGGTCACCAGAGGGAATAGTCTTTCCCCACTTGGCACGGCCCTCGAAATCGACGTGGTCGACGTTGGTGCCGGTGTCGATAACGTAGGCATCTACACCTTCACCAGCATCCTCAGCGTAGAGGTACTTGTCATATGTGCCGAAGCCGAGAGACTTGCGGTGGGAGACACGAGCCAGACCCCAGGGGGCCAGCTTCTCGAGCTCGCCGTCACACTTGTCCTCAACCTGGGACTTGACGGGAACCTGAGTGTGGACAACGGAGTCGACCTCGATGAACTCGACCTGTGAAGAAGCATGTTAGTGGCTGTGTCAGAAAATGAGGCTAGGAGACCGAAAGCGGCCGAGCCGAGCTTGAGAGCCCGAGCCCGTGAGGGTCGGATAGCCAAGACCGCCTTTGCCGTGGACTGCAGTGATGGTGGGTCCACGGGTTTGGGGTGCGTCTTGGATCTCGGGACGAGGGTATCAGGGTCGGACTTACGTCAGGGTGTCTCCGGACCTTCTCGATGGTGGCATCATCGAAGTGACCGGCGTAGCCCAAAAAGTCCTTGCCAATCTTGTATGTGTGCTTCAAGCCGTGGAAGACATCGTCAACCATGGGCTCCTGGCCACGCTTGCGCAACTCGAGACGCTCATCCTGAGCGGAGGAGTGAATGTTCTGGACCCAGTTGTGGTGGTCCGAGGCGCCGGAGTCCGAGACGTGCTTCTTGAACTTGACGATGTATGAGTTCGGGACGGCCTCGGCGTTGGTGGAAGAAAGAAGGGGTGCAGCGCCGTCGTGGACAGTCTCAATGGAGAGAGAGGGGGTAGCGCTGGCAACAGCGGCCAGGCCGGCCACAGCACCGATGAAGCCTCTCATGATGGGCGGTGTTGTGGAGGTGAGTAGAGTCTACCGGAGACGCTGGTTGTGATGACAGAGAAGGAAACTGAAGCTGCGAAGAACGCCAAGGACAGACGAATACTCGATGGGATTGAGAGGATGGATGGTCGATGAAGGAGGGGGAAGGATGGGAGAGAGATGGAGCAGAGATAGACGATGGAGCTGTCGGAGAGCGGGAGCGGGTAGATATAAAGGGAAGGCAGCGACAGCGGTTGCGTGCGCACAGCTCTAGGTGAGGTATCGGCCTTAGGATGGTTGCGCCGCCCCAGTGTTGCCAGTGTGTGACGCAGCCAACCAAGATAAGAGCTGGAGGGTGGCTGACGGGGCCGAAACCGGATTAGCGCGATGGCGAGAGAGCCAATGGAATGACTCGATAGGGTTTCCTCGGCAATGCGATAAGGGAGGTCCTGGGACAGTCTGGGAGGGTCACGTTTGGGGTTTCCCTGGGACAGTCCCCGCTTACAGGCAACAAGTACGTACCTGGTTCCTGCTAGGAACCCAGTAGGGTAGGTACCTTTCCACTTTACCCCGAGCAGCTTGTCACTTGTTCGATACGGGAGGCTGCTTCAAAAGAGAGAGGACGGAGGACGGGGATGGGATTGTGCAAATGGGCGATAGCAAGTGACCTACTCAGGTACCTCTACTTCTCCTCTTTCTTTCTGGCGGCACGCTGCATCCGCCAGGAACACAACCAATCCGGCCTCCGTCTGTTGGGGAAGCTTCACTCAAGCTTCCCGCCATCGACAATGTGCCTGCCATGCCATGCTGCTTTTCTATCGTCTTTCACCGTTTACGCTCATCCGAATCTCTGGACACCATTTCCTTCCATGTCTTAGCAAAATTCTTCGGATTCTCGTGGTTGCAACCGACAAGGAAACACGCATGACTGATTATTGCACCTTGAGAGCCAGAGTCAGAGCTCTGAGGGCGACGTCATACCCCCGAGGCTATCTGACCGAGTCTTAATAGCCAAGGCCGATACGGAGGCAATCAGTCACAGCAGAGCATGGGGCAATGTACTCCGTGCTTCGCCCTGTCCAACAGCCTCGGGGCCTCACTCTTCCTCACGACCGATGGCTCACAAGTGTCAACCAGCTCATGGCTACGAGGGTGCTTTCTCCTTTCCTGGAAACCTTCCTACGCATACGGTTGACAGCTTTCAATCGACCATCCCAAGCATCCCCAAAGCAACGGACGATCAAGCCAGCACAGCGCCAATGCCATGCCAGATGTGGCAGGCACCGACCGGGCAGCAGCACAGAGGCACAGCCTACCAACCAGTCACAGCTTGGGAGCACCGGCTCCCTGGTCACGAGCAAGTCGAGAAGATGTACCGCGCTATCAGCATTCCTCAGACATTCTTCACCCACTTCTACTAATCCACAACCAAGCTCCCCCACCCAGTCCGCATATCCCGCATAACGCTGCATGCGATAACGCGTAATGGACGATTCACAGAGCGGAGGGCGAGGCAGATCTATCCGGAGGACCCTGAAGCTTAACAAGCGCTGCCATCCCGTCTTATCTCGACACTTGAAGCTTTCGTCGTTTTGCTGAGCTTTGTGGTCGACCACTCAGAGGGATAGAGACCCAAATCCTACATGTCGTGTGCTGGCAGTACGAAGTATGCATCGTAGTGTTTGTCCGGATCTGCTATTGCCTGCCTGGCCTCGGGACGCAGGTCGGCGTCTCGGTTCCTTCTAGCCTGCTGGGCTGCCGGCTGCCACATTGGGTAAGGAACCTGCTCAACGATGATGCGATTAACTGTAATAAGGTGTCCGGCGCAGCTGGGTCTTTGTGTGGATAAGACCTACCCGGGATTAAATCCAAGGCGAAGAAGGTACCAGGTGCCGGAGCCACTAAGTAGGCGACTGCTTTGTTGGTCTCATCAATGCCCCCAGCACCCAAAGATCCAAGGTGATGCTGGCGGGCGGTTGTCGCTCAGGTGGTTCTTGATGCTTGAGCTATCCCGCAAGGTACCTCTGCTGCCC